ATTATTTCAGTTTTTTGCAATTTTTTCCCTCTTCAATTCTATTTATCAATCGTTAATCGCTGTAGTCAATATTTTTGAGAAAAAAATCGAAAAAATGTGAGATTTTTGAAACAGAATTTTACGAGTTTTTTCTAGGTCATGGCCCAATTTTATCTTGGTCATGACCCAACTTTTTCTAGGTCATGACCCAATTTTATCTTGATCATGACCCAATTTTTTCTAGGTCATGACCCAATTTTTTCTAGGTCATGGCCCAATTTTATCTTGATCCTGACCCAATTTTTTCTAGGTCATGACCCAATTTTTTCTAAGTCGTGACCCAATTTTTTCTAGGTCAGGACCTAAATTTTTCTAGGTCATTATCTAATTTTTTCTAGGTCATGACCTAGATTTTTTAGGTCATGACCTAGATTTTTCTAGGTCAAGACCTAGATTTTTCTAGGTCATAAACTAATTTTTTCTAGGGCACGACCCGATTTTTTCTAGGTCAAGATCTAGATTTTCTAGGTCATTATCTAATTTTTTCTAGGTCACGACATATTTTTTCGAAGTTTGAGTGTATTCTGGTGTACAGAGCAACTAAGGATTGATTTTGAAAATTTTAATTAACTTTAGTGAATTATTTGAAAAAGTAAAAAAAAACTTCTGTTTCACTATTTTTGTAATTTCGACTAGTTTTTTGATATTTTAATACAAGCTATGGATTGAAAAAATTAAATAAAATTTCTCTGTTTTCAACAATTATTCAAAAACCATTTTTTTGTTCTCAAAAAAAACATTCTGGAAGTTTCCCAATTGCACTTCTTCTTTCTCTTCCTGCTCATTTTTCTAAAATTCTCCCTTTCAAAACACTTTGAACAAAGTTTGTTTGAAATTCGAGACATGTCTAGGGTTTCCCCGGGCGTTTCTAGAAAATTTGAAGACCCCAAAGCCCTTTTTTTCCTATTCAAAAAGCAATTTTTGACCTTCTTCCGACTATTTTTGGACCTTATAAGATGGAGCGTTACGTGACTAATTTATGCACATAGATCATCTACATAAAGATTAGCAATGAGCGGAAATTCAGTCTTTTTCAATGAATATATCACATTTTTATGCATATTTTGAGAATATTGGAGTAGGAGGATGGATGATACGTAGTTCTGATGAATAGTTGAGGAGCACACAGAATTTTTTATGATTCCTAGGAATTTTTTTTGCGATTTTAGAGAGTTTGGATTAAGAGAAAACACATTGAGAAGTTAATAATGAGAAAGATTTCAAAGCGAAATTTTGAAAAAAATTCAAATGTTTCAAAAACTTTGTATTAGAAATATTGGATATTTCAAAACTAATCCATTGTATTGACACACTATGATTTTTGACATTTTTAAGATTAAAAAAATCAGATTTTTGGAAATTTGGATTTTTTTGAAATATTTGGATTTTTTAAAATCAATTTTTCGATTCTTTAAAGGTGGGGGGACAGGAGATTTTTCGTAGTTTTTTTGTAGCTAGAGTATGCATTCTACCGTCACGGTGTACAACGCTTAATGTCACTCTGCGTACAGCTGTCGTCCTCGCCTTTATGTATGCAATCGGGCGTCCGCTTTCTCTTTGCCCGCGTGGCTCAGTCGGTAGCGGCGCCGCACCCTCAATCATCGCCTTCACAAGTTCAACTCCTCGAGGTGCATATTTAAACGGAATTTCGAAAACATTTTTTTTTTTCATTTTTCATTTTTTGGTATAAAAACTTTGAGATTTTTAGAAATTCGACAATTCCTTCTGATTCGAATTTTTATGAAATTTTTTTCAAATTGATTATTTTTCAACCTTAGTTTTCAAAATTTATCTATACTGTACTTCAATACATAATTTTTCCTGTTTCAATTAGTACCATTTTTATCTAAATTTCAGTTTTTTGTTATCTTTAAGTCTTTATGGGTTACAATTATCAATATTTCAGATCTGACGGCAATTTTGTTGATCCGAATTTTCTGGATTTTATATACTGTAAAACCTGTATTAGAAGAGTCCCTTTAATAGAAGGGCCCCTCTAATAAAAGGGCCCTCCAAGAGGGGCTTGAAAAAATAGAAGGGCCCTCTGTGAAAAAAAAAGATCCCCCTTCAAAATGTGTGTTTGAAGTTAAAACATTTCCGTACTTTTTCAGTGGAAAATATTCAGGGAACTTCACAATTCAATAGGATTTTATTGAAACTCTATTTTTCGATGAAAATCTTGCTGAATTTTGGTGTAATTGGCAGGTTTTCACGAATTTTGAACGGAAATTTTCGATGCGAAACTTCAGAAAAAACTGGCCGGAAAAATAAAAGGGTCCCCTCTAATTGAAGAGCCCCTGTAATAGAATTGCCCTCCGGAGGTACCTTGGAACAATAGAAGGGCCGGCGCTATTAATAGAGGTTTATGATATTCTTGTTTTCCGAAAAAATTAGAGTTGGGACGCAGACAGTGTATCAAACAATCTCTCTAAAAAATATACTGCTCCAAATTCAAAGTTTTAATGTTTCGATTTTTTTTGAAAATGGTTCTCACTTGAGTTTCTATTTCTTTCTGGAATAATCCAATTTATTTTTCCATAAAATTCTTTCTGTTTCAAACTACAAGTAATTACGAAATTTGCAGTGTTCTTTTGCTGTGATGAGTGTTGAGAAAAGTCTGAACTAAATTAAAATTTTTTACATTTCAAATTAACTCCAACTATGATTTTTTCTCTGGATCCTCTTTTTTGAACTTCACTCAAAAACATGAAAACATGCGAGTTCCGAAGAGTGAAAACTCATAAAACTTTTACTGCTCCGCGTTTCATTGGGGGCAATTTTTGAAAGAATAGGTTCTGATTTTGCTTTATTTTCATGTTTGTCTGGAGAAGTTTTTTTTTCACAATTTTTGAGTTTTGGAGTTTTGAATTTGAAAGTTTTAGAAGATTCTCATATTTCATTGGATTTTCATGAAACTCCAACCTATCCAGGTCCAATTACTTTTCAATAGTTAGCCGTAGATTTTTGTCGTTCAATTGAAACGGTGAAAATATTTTTTGAACTTTTTATAGAAATAAATGGGTAAGTTTTATCATTTTTATTACAAAAAAGCATTTGCTCTCGGTCATTATGATTTTTGAAAATTAACCATTTTCATAATTGCTCTGAAACTGTAATTTTTTGGGGTTCCTATTGAAAAATTGTCAAATTTGAAATAATTTTTTGAGAAATTTTTTCAAATGAAATTCACAGTTTTTAGAGAAATACAGTTTCAAATTTAGTATACATTTAGAGAAATGAAACCAAAAATTAATTTGTCTTTGTTTTCGATTTGACATGAATTACCAAATCGATTTTGAAAATTTTATCAATTTCAAATTTCAAAAAAACCGAAAAACTGAATTTGAAGAAAAAATTGAAAATCACTGTTTCTTGGATAGGCTTGGATGATTCTTGCAATTCCAACATTTTCAAAAGTTCTAAAACTTCTTTCAAAATTAAACAAATTGGTTTTTTAAAATTTCGATAAAAATGATGAAAATCGCTTAAAATTCAAACGATCTAATTGATGAAATATCAGGGACCATAATTTTGGGACTGTTTTTAAAACTGGAAATCAGAAATAATATTTTTTGCGGTTTTCAAAAACTTTCAAAAAACAACTATTCGCGAATGAACAGTTTCAAAATTGGCATTTATTCCAAATTCGATAATTTTCAAATTAATTCGATGGTGAAAATCTCAATTTCATAGTACGAAAAACTTCAAATTTTTGATCCCCCTTTTTGTTTTAAAAGATCTTAAAAATAGAAAATATCTTCTATTTCGTCAATTTAATCAAAATCTAATCCCAAGAAATCGGCGGATATGTATACTCGGAATAATCTTGTCTAATCGGTCAAACTTGGAGTTTATTTTCTTCTTCTTCTTTTTTCATTTCCTCTCTTTTGACTCTTCACGAGAAATAGGAGGCAACTTGAATTATTTTTTCTTCTCCCTCACGTCACCTTGTTCATCTAATCCGGCATTTTTTTCACATTTTTCCCCGTTTTTTTCTATTCAATCAAAAAGTGGCTTAAGGATCTTTTTAGAGTTTTAATGATAGTTTTTCTTCTAGAACATTCTAGGAAAAAAGTATTGAATTTCGAAAAAAAATTCAACGAATTACAAATGCTAACTGCGCTCTATTGCTGAAAATTTCAAATAATCGCTTTTGAGTGTTCTCAATAGAGCGCACTTGGTTTTTCTATTCAAAAATCAGTTTGACGAATATTTACTGTTTTATTTTGTTTTTATGAACAAAACTGATATGGAGAAAATAGTACATTCGTTACATATTTTTCATATTAAAATGAGAAAATTCGCTCCACTGATAGTTTTTCAAAAATCAATTTTTTGACCGTTTTAGAATTTTGAGATTTGGAATCCAACTTTTTTGTAATTCGTTCGATTTTTCTAGAGGAAATTTTTTTAAAATTCGAAATTCCAAAATTTACTGTTTTTCTTCTTCGAATAGAATGATATTTGAATAATTCTCAGTAGAGAGCATTTGAATTTTTCAAAACTTTGATTTCCAAATTTAATGTTTCAACTAGATATTATTTAATACACATTGATGGACTAAATAATGAATTGGTGTTTAGTGGTGGGAAAAATGTGAAAAACGCGCTCTATTGAAAAAAAAAAACAACTTAAAAAATAATTTGCTATTTCAAAACATTGAGATCTGAAATTCAATTTTTTGTGACCGATTTTCCTTTTTTGAAATTTTTTTTTCGAAAAACTCCGAATTCTGACGTGATTTTTATGCCTAACTCCTGAAAATAGTACCGAAAAACAGGTGATTTCTACAAGAAACAGCTGAAAAATTCCAATTTCCTGAAGCTCCGCCCCTTTTTCCCCTTCACAATTTTTTCCAGTTTCATTTACTTCTTATTTATTTTTGCAGAATTTCCGTTTTTCAATGCTTCCTATCTTTTTTCTGAAATTTCATAATTTTAATACCAATGATATATTTCCAGATGCTTCCCAACAACAATAACATCTCCACGTCGACGATGATGACGTCAACGTCATCAGAATCCTTCAACACTGATGACCCCATTTTTCCACCGGAACCGATTCTTGGGGACTATGTGGAAATGTTCACGCTGGTGCTGAACTTCATCGTTGGAGCACCACTGAATCTAGCGGCATATACACAGGTAGGATAGGGCAAGTGCGCTCTAATGAGAAGAGCAAATTCAACGGATATCGCAATTTATAATCATCCGAAAAGTTTTTGGCAAGATTTTAAAACTGGGATTTTTAAATCCGCTTTTTGAAAACTCTTTTTGGCAAGTTTGCTCTAATCAAGAAATGAGGAATTAGAACGAACATTAGCAGTCAAAATTGTCCAGAAGGTTTTATCAACTTTTGGAAACTGTAACTTTTTGAAAATAAAATTAGAAATTTTGGTTTTTTTTCCATGAAACGCGCTCTATTGAGAAATCTAAATTTTAGTAACATCTAACTAGTTAATTGGAATAACCCGCAAAGTTTTGACAATTTTTTGAAATTGAGTTTTTTAATTCAATTTTATAAGATTCAAATCTTTGGCAAGATCGCTCTAATGAGAAATCGGAAATCGGGGATAGAGTGGAGTTAGCAGTCAGTGAAATAATCCAGAATGATTTATCAACTTTTTGAAACTGTGATGTATTGATTTTAAAAAATCCAAAGTATAGACTTTTGCCAGTAAACGCACACTAATGAGAAATGCGAATCCCAAAGTCGTATCGTGGTTTATGACAGTCGAAAACTTTTTGGGAAGTTTTTGAAACTGAAATTTTCTTAAAGGTGGGGGGACAGGAGATTTTTCGTAGTTTTTTTGTAGCTAGAGTATGCATTCTACCGTCACGGTGTACAACGCTTAATGTCACTCTGCGTACAGCTGTCGCCCTCGCCTTTATGTATGCGATCGGGCGTCCGCTTTCTCTTTGCCCGCGTGGCTCAGTCGGTAACGGCGCTGCACCCTCAATCCTCATTCTCACAAGTTCAACTCCTCGAGGGGCATCTTTGAACGGAATTTCGAGAACATTATTTTTTCATGTCCCCCTCCTTTAAATCAACTTTTCCAATTCAAATTTTTGGAAAGTGCGCGCTAATGATAACTTGGTTCTAACTTTAGTAGTCAAAAATCCAGAAGGTCTTATCAACTTTTTGAAATTGTGATTTTTTTTGAGAAAATTGAGATTTCGACTTCTTCCAAAAAACGCGTTCTAATGAAAAGTATTCAATTCATCGATACTCCAGTAACAGAATAATCCGAAAAGTTTAGTCAATATTTTGAAACGGCAGTGCTTTTTTAAAATCAATTTTTAAAAATGCAAGTTTTTGGCAGGTGTGCTTCAAAGAAGAAATAGAAAGAACATTAGTAGTCAAAATAATCCAGAAGATTTCATCAAGTTTTTGAAACTGGATTTTTTTTGAAAAAAAGTTCAACGTTTTGAATTCCGCCAAGAAACGCGCTCTAATAAGAAATCGAAGTTAGATCGAAGTTAGATCGAATCGAAGTTAACTAGCCATTCAAAATAATCCGAAAATTTTTTGAAAAGTTTTCGAAACGGAGATTTTTTTTCAAATTCAATTTCGACAATTGCGCTCTAATGAGAAAGGGATAAATGGATCAATCAGAACTGAAATGATACTAATTTTTTAAAATAATGCAGAAGATGTGATCAACTTTTTGAAACTGTGATTTTTTTAAAAGTAAAAACTCAAAATTATGAATTCCATGATGAAAACCTGAAAATAGGAAAATCTGAAAGCCAGAAAATCAAAAATCGGAAACAATATCGAAATTGAAAGTCTGAATTTGAAAATTGGAATGTCTGGAATCTAATTTTGAATATTTTAATTTTCATTTCCCGATTTTCAAACTCCGATTTCTAAATTCCAAATTTTAAAACTCAGAATTCGCATTGGAAGACTATCTAGCCAGTATTACAAAAACAAATTTGAGTTTCCTTACCACAGACACTATCTTACAGGTTAGACACTATCTTAAAAATAGTAACATTAGAAAACATTTTCAGCTCAGCGAACGTCCCACTTCCACTCGTCTGGATCTTTTGAAACGATCGTTGAACTACTCGGACCTCCTCGTTTTGTTCATTTATGTACCATCACGTGCTTGTTGGCTACTCACATATGATTGGAGAGGAGGAGATGCTCTATGCAAAATTGTCAAAATGTTTCACACTTTTGCGTTTCAGGTTAGTTATAAATGTGTTAATTTGTTTTTGCTGGTGATTTTGATTGATTGTTTTGATTTTAGTACGAATCAAAAAAGCTTATAATTTTATATTAAAAATTCACAATTCACTACAGTCTAGTTTACACAAAGTTCCCATAGAAAAGGAACATAGGACTGTCGATAGGCTCAATATGGTCATGGTGGTTGTTCATTCAACCCGATTATATCGGTTCCTATAGGGGATATCAAAATGTAGTCAAATGATAAAATGTTAAGCATTTTATGACAAACAGTTTATCAGTTGGCAAAATTTGATATCTTTCATAGGAACCGAGATATAGGTTGACGTTTGGAAATTAACAGCTTCATTACTGTGTGAAAGTTAATTGTATTGTAGTAATTCGATACTAGTTTTCTTCCTCAATTTTCAAAATAGAGTTACCAGTCTAATACCAATCAAAAGAGCGTAAAAGTTTACATAGGAATCTTAAACCAAAAATGAGCTGGTCCATATCGAATTTTCAAAATGCTGTCATCTAAAAAACATTTTTTGAGAAAATTACTGTTTCATTAGTTTGTTATCATATTCTTATCGGAGAAAGTCCTCAATAAAATTTCTCTGTAATACATTTTGTTAAACGATTCACTTCGGAGATACCGTAGAAACTCTAATAGAGTGTCACCCAAACTTTGAGCAATTTTCTCGTTTCCTGAAAAAGATATTTAAAAAATGGTCAACTTACAAAATGTTTATCATAATATCACCAACAATTTATCAGTTGACAACTTTTTAATATCTATATCTTTAACGCAAATCGAGACAAATTGACTCAAAATTGACGATATGAGTGGCACTCCACCAGAGTATTTACTGTATGCGCCTTCTAATATTGCAGATAAGTTAGTTCAACTTTAAAAACACATATAAATATATTTTTTGAAACATTCATATCTCAAGTTCTAAAGACTCTAGAAAAATAGTTTTTATATTAAAATTTAGGAAATTTTACGTTTTTAGAGCTCCTCCAACGTCATTGTGTGCATCGCAGTGGATCGTCTCCTCTCCGTACTCTCTCCATCTCACCATTCCCCAAATAAAGCCCTCCGACGGACCAAAATGATCTAATAGTGGCTTGGATCGTAGCACTAGTCATCTCCTGTCCCCAGTTATTTGTATGGAAAGCCTATTTAGCATTACCGGAGTATAATTGGAGTCAATGTCTTCAAATCTGGGAAATCGCGCGGATGGAAAACTTTGGAAAGCCTCAAGTGGTGTCGCATTTTGATGCAGAGTTCTGGTACAGTATACTTCATATATCCCTGGTGTTTTGGATTCCCTGTATTATCATAATGGTAGGTTTTTTGTGGCCATGGCGCCAGGTAGGGTATTTTGTTCCTTAGGGTCCTTAAGAGTGTTACCGTGCTTGAGCTCTTTTATCTCGGCTCCTATGAAAGATATCAAAAAACTGTCGACTGATAAAATACTGATAATATTATCATAAACATTTTATCAGTTTACAAATTTTTGACATTGCTTATAGGAACCGAGATAATTGATCATAGTGTTTGAGAAAAGGAGGGTACTTGAAAATTTATGTTTGCTGTTTCATTTGCTTTGTTAGTTTGTAAGGGTTGATCAAGGTACTGAAGGTACGTTTGTTATGACATTCTTAGTCTTTAAGAGTATTTCAATTTTAGTACTGTTCGGAAGATCGTAACATTTTACACAAGATTTTTAAATCAAAGTCAATCTCATTCCTTTTTAAATCCCCATAAACGAACAGAAAACAGGTCAAAACTTTCCAAGTTTTAAGATTTCATTTTAAGGACCAAAAAAAATTCCAGCTCTCCTACATCATCGTCATCTCCTGGGTGTGGATCAACTCTCGACCCTCCATCCGTCACACGTCTTCATTCTCCTTCCACACCGGCTGCGATACGGTAGATACTGTACTTACACGAGCCTCTGAATGGAACCCTTTGAAGACATTCTCCCGTCACGTCAAGGAACCCGAGAAGCCATTGCGTAAGGAATTCGTATACTTGGTTCAAAATTGGACTTTTTGAGAGATTCAAAATGCAAAGTGTGGATCTTGGTTTTCTAGAAACTCCAGTTTTCAAATGTTTTTTTAAATCTTTGTCTTTTCAGCCGCTTTGGGTCTCAAACTGAAAACTCAAATATGATTGAATTTATATCATTTTGTAGCTCTTATCAAGAGATATATTTTACATTTAAGTGCAAACAAAAATTCCGAGTTTGAACCGAGTTGTACCTTCTCCAAGTTTTCAGCCACCCCAAGAATTGTGGTAAGCGACGAAACAGAGGTTCCCTTAACCCAAAGACCATCAATCTCTCCTTCTGAAGCATCAGCAGTTATGAGGACCGGAGTACATACTAGCACTTCATATAACGCTAATTTGAATAGGTATTTGGAACCCATTCTCCTTTAAAACTACAGTATCCCTCAGATCCCGCGCCCTTCGTGTGTCCTTCCTACTGGTCCTTGCCTATATCATTTGCTGGCTACCGTATAACCTAATCAGTTTAATTCAATTATTGCATCGTGACTTTTTCGAGTCATATCTTAAACATGTAAGTGTCTATTATTTACTAATTAATACCAATTAAGTCCTAATTAAGGTCCATTTCTGCCAACAACTAATCATTTTCAATTCGGTTGTCAACCCGTACCTTTACGGTTTCTTTGGTCCACATCGCCCACAAAATTCTGGAATTAACGGACGCTAATTTCCTTTTTTGATCTAATTTTTAATTATTTTTTTGATCTCTTTTTTCTGAAACATTCCAAAAAACCCGCGAAAAAACTTTTTGAAAATATCTGTCTTTTTTTGTCTAAAAAAATGTCTGAAATTCAAAGAGCCATATCTATGGTTAATTTTTCTTTTTGTATTTCTTTTCTCGGTGACAAACTTCTTGAAAAAAACAATAAATTATTTCTTACTAACAAGTTGCATCAAGTTATCATTTGAGAGTTTAATTAAAAAAACGGAATTTTTTAAAAAGTTTTTTTAAAAACAATTTAAAAACATTTTAGAAAATTTCCAGTTGCTGTGTTTGATTTTTGAGACAAATTCAGATTTTTAGTTTTTTTTCTTACATTTAAAAAACCATAATAGAATGAGAAAAAGGATATCAGTGAATTGGTGGAAAGACTAGGAAATACGAAAAATTTGAAACCGAATTTTTTTTTCGATTTTGGAGGAAAAGATGGATTAAAAATCTTTGAATTTCAATTCGAACTTTTGAATTTTTTGAATTTATTTTTTCGCTAAATTCTGAAGTTTCCTAAAAAATCAATTCCCGCTTCATCAACTTTTCAAAGTGTTGTCCAAAAATGAAAATTTAATCACGCCAATAGAGATATTGTCGGATTAAAAAAGTGACACCTGACAATCTCGGAGACGGCGCTCGTGTCGATTTACGAGGGGGCGGAGCGAAAACCGATACTGTAGATAACAAATTTATTTATGTGATTTTAGTGGGATTTTCTGAACAAAATTTTGATTTCTTGGTATAAAAATGATCGCTAGCATCTCTAGAATCTATTTTTCAGCAAAAAACTAAACTTAAACGCGAAAGTAGCTCGAATGAGCCGAAATTCTGAAACATTACGTTTTTGCCGCATTCCGCATTTTTTCGTAGATCAAAAAAAGCAAAAGTTTTCAAATTTTCAGGTGTCACTTTTTTTAATTCGACAATATCTTGCACTTGCGACAAGAGAATGGAAAAGAATCAAGGATGTTGTATCCGATGAGAACTTGTTTTTGTTATTCAGATTTGCCTGAACTCCAGAACCCGAGCTCCACAACCCGATTGTTATAATTATTTTTTAATTAAATTTAGATTTTCAAATTTTTTTCGAAAACTTTTTTGAAATTTTTTTTTCATCACGTTCAAACAAAACTTAAAACTTCACTTTTGAAATTTGTGGATCTCGTAAAAGTATTGCTCCTGTGAACCTCATTATCTCGTTTCCTTTTTAAAATATCGAAAAATGTTTAACTGGTGAAATGTTTATCATAATATCACTAACATTTTATCAATGGATCATTTTTTGAAACCTTTCACAGGATATATTTGCTCAAAGTTGTTAGGAGAAATTCAGAAACTCAAAATTTTACGAAAAAATCCCGAAAAATCTGAAAAAACAACTTTCGAAATTTTGGAAAACACATTTTTTTTCAATTTCTAGCGAAACGAAAAATCTTGAATTCTTGGAATTCTATGTTTTGGTGGAACAATAAAAATTTTTAACCAGAAATAAAATACAGAAAATGAAACGGTAAATAAATTTTCAGGCTCAAAAAAAAATTTTTTTTGGTAGATCAAAAATTTTTGTGTGGGAATTTTCGACAAAGCGGGAAATAGTGAATTCTGCTTTTTGGAAGAAATTGATTTTCGTTTTTTTTTCTTCTCATTTTTCTTTCTGGTTTCCGGTTTTTCTGATTTTCGATTTTTCTTTTTTCATATTTTTTTCAGTTTCAGTAAAATTGTATTTTTAAACATTTTCAGTTAAATTTTGATTCAGTTCTTCAACTTTTAAGTTCATAGAACTTTAACCTTCAGCGCAACAAATTTCAGAATTTTCCTCGAATTATTCAATTTCCATTTTTTCGAATTTCAGCCATTTTAGACCATTTTTAAAAGTTTGGCTCGATTTCCGGACTTTTTTGAAAATTACCTTTTTTGACTGATTCTTGACATTTTCGGTTGTTTTTTGGTCGTTATTGGTCATTTTTTGGTTATTTAAAATTTGAATTTAGACTATTTTAGGTCGTTTTTTGAAAAATTTTTGATTGTATTCCGACCAATTTTGGATCATTCCAGCTTGGTTTCTAACAATTTCGGCTTAGTTTTTGGCGGCCGGGCCGGGCCCGGTATCAAAAATTCTGTTTTTTTTGAGCCAAATTTTGAGTTCTCAATCTAATTTTCTCAATTTTTTTTGTGTATTTTAGGATTGTGTGTTTGTTTGATCTAGAAAGATCGAAAAAACTCGAAAAAAATTTTTGATCGAAAAAAAACAAATAAGGGCCCCCCCTTATGTGTTTTTTGAAAATTTCAAATCTTGTGAAATGACGGGCACGCCGAGCCCGGTTTTCGAAATTCGGAAAAAAGCCCGGCCCGTTACAAGTATGGTTTTTGAGTGTTTCAAATGTAAACTTTACTAATTTTAGGCTCGATTTTTGGCATTTTTCCCTTATTTTCGACTATTCCGACTGTTCTGGAGCCCGGGTTCTGAAGCCCGGTTTTGTGAGCCCGGGTTCTAGAACCCGGGTCTATTTTTGACCTACTTATCTCGATTCTTGGACGCTTTTCGAAGATTTTCCGACTTTCTCTTTCTATTTTTCAGCGAATTTTTGACCACTTTAAGCCTTCTTTTTTCCAGAATGACAGACCAAAAAAAGCCGCCGCCACAATTGGAATTTGAGAAAGACGAGGAGTGTGTGAGTCTATACCAAGGAAAAACGGCCTACCTCGTGAAAATTGCCAAGATCAAACATCGGAATAACTACACTCACTATACAATCAGCTATCCAGGATGGGGTGATCAACACGACGAGGTGATTTGTTCGACGGAAACCGAAGGACGCCTTTTCAAAATGACAATGGCCGAATTTCGCGAAAAATTCCCAAATGCCGAAATTGGAGCGGATAAGGCGTATTTTCAAACTGCTAGAAGACGATCGGTGGTCCCGAAATCCAAAAAAGGAGGAGAACGGAAAAAACCTGATGGTGAATACTACAGTGATAAGAAGCCGGTGAAAAGATGGCCAAAATTCAAGCTGGCGAAGCCATTGACCGAAATTTTGATTGAGGATCGGAAGATGGTGAAGAGTGGAGTGTTGGCACGACTTCCGGCAGTGATTACGATTGAGAAGATTGTTGAGGAGGTATGAAATTTGTTTTAAATTTTAGAGAATTTCAAGAACTATTTATTGGCTGCATATTTGAAGGAAAATATGGATTTTGAAGGGGGTTAAGACCGAAAGTCTGAATATGGTGCTAAATTTTAGGCAATTTGATTTTTTTGCTCATAACTCACTTCAAAATCCATATTTCTAAGAACTTTAAAATGCAGAATGTATATTTTGAAAAGGGCAAAAAGTTAATATAGAAGAACGTAGACTATAGTTATCACTAATTTTGAATATCGCTTTTTAAATGTAAAGAATTTGAAACACTACTTTTTTTTTGAAAATCAAGAAAAAAATATAGAATTGGATGGGAATTATGAGCTATTATGAATTAGAATCAGGTAGTTTAGATTATGTTTTGTAAAATTAGAAGAGCTTTCGACTGATTTTTATTTTATTCAAAAATATGAATTTTGAAGAAAGTTAAGAGCTAAATAGTGATTCCGGTTTCTAAAATTTTGACGCCAATTTCACATTTTTTATCATAACTTTTTTCAAAACCGAGATTTTTGAACGAATTAAAGGGGGACTCCGACAAAAATTTTTATTGCATTAATGTGTTAAAAGTTATCTATTTTCCGAATATTATTGCGAAAAATTCAAAAAAAATCCGAAATTCCCGAAAAACGGCGTTGAAAAGGAAGAACATTCAAAAAAAGGTGCCGCCGGGGGACGAGGATTTTCAGTGAGAAACCTAGGCCACGGCAGCGGGCGCCTTTCCTATGTGGCAAATTTTCCGGATTTTTTTCAATTT